TTTGAATAGTAAGTGGTTCAAATAATTTCTTTTCAGTTTTTAATTAGAATTGCTGAGGCCTAAAGAATTAGCTCACATTTAGACTGACTATTGCTTAGTAAATTACGTGCCTTTTGCTTACCTGCTTGAGTGATGTTTGTATTGAATGAGAGGTTTAACGTGTGTAGCTGACAGTTGTTGTTGTTGATGGCTTCAGCCAAGTGCTGTGCTCCAATGTCTGAGATGTTATTGTATGAGAGGTTTAACGTGTGTAGCTGACAGTTGTTGTTGTTGATGGCTTCAGCCAAGTGCTGTGCTCCAATGTCTGAGATGTTATTTCTGTAGAGGTTTAACGTGTGTAGCTGACAGTTGTTGTTGTTGATGGCTTCAGCCAAGTGCTGTGCTCCAATGTCTGAGATGTTATTGTGTGTGAGGTTTAACGTGTGTAGCTGACAGTTGTTGTTGTTGATGGCTTCAGCCAAGTGCTGTGCTCCAATGTCTGAGATGTTATTGTCTGTGAGGTTTAACGTGTGTAGCTGACAGTTGTTGTTGTTGATGGCTTCAGCCAAGTGCTGTGCTCCAATGTGTGAGATGTTATTTGTTGAGAGGTTTAACGTGTGTAGCTGACAGTTGATGGCTTCAGCCAAGTGCTGTGCTCCAATGTGTGAGATGTTATTGTGTTGAGAGGTTTAACGTGTGTAGCTGACAGTTGTTGTTGTTGATGGCTTCAGCCAAGTGCTGTGCTCCAATGTGTGAGATGTTATTGTCTGAGAGGTTTAACGTGTGTAGCTGACAGTTTTTGTTGTTGATGGCTTCAGCCAAGTGCTGTGCTCCAATGTGTGAGATGTTATTGTTTGTGAGGTTTAACGTGTGTAGCTGACAGTTGTTGTTGTTGATGGCTTCAGCCAAGTGCTGTGCTCCAATGTGTGAGATGTTATTGTGTGAGAGGTTTAACGTGTGTAGCTGACAGTTGTTGTTGTTGATGGCCTCAGCTAAATACTTTGCTGCTTCATCTGTCAATTGATTTCTTGTGAGGTTTAACCAGCTCAGTTGAGATTCCCTACATTTTAACAGTTTACCAATCTCAAGACAACCTAATGGACCAATGTTATTGTCACTCAAATCTAAATGTGAAATTTGTTGAACATTAATTACATTTACTAACGAAGAGCAATCAACAGCTGTGAGGTGACAACGAATAAAATTTACACAATTAAAGTTCATTTGTTGAAGTTTTCTCTGTGCTTCTGACTTCATTCTGCTATTTTCGTTTAAACATTTAATTAATGTTACTGCTAATTCTCGTTCGTCTTCAGTCGGCCAGCAGGTTACTTTTCTTTTCTCTTCATTCTCTGTCCACTGTTCGTTGTAGTCTGCGCTTTCTTTTTCTTCAGTTTTCACAGGAAGAAGGTCCGTGATAATTTCGCTTGGTAGGTGAGTTTTATTCTCCATTAATCCTGCTAGAAACTGAAAAACCAGCTGCCATCTGCCGTTCTTGATGTTCTCGGAAACAAAGTTTTTTAATTCTGTTTCACTCATATTGTTTGCCAGGTGTCTCGCGGCGAAAAACTCTTGCATTGTCAGATGAATGAAACAGAATTGTGGTTCAAGATTAAGCGTGTCAGTTTTACGGTCGGGTAAGCGATGAAAAAGAGCGCTGTTTCCCATTCCTTGTATCTCGTTTCCTCCAAGGATCAGTTTTCCTTCTTTAATTCCGTTAAAGGCTACTTTTCCTAGTATCTTGAAATTCTCCAGTACATCTTCGGGCAAATCATGTTCGAGAGGAAACGAAATATTGCACAATTCTATTGTATGTTTAAAATAAAACACTTTCACTGCAATATTGTATATCAATGTTAATTTGGAAGGGAGGGTAACGTCAGCGGAACTTTCGGACTCTTGTTTTCGCTGGATTTCTAACAGACTTGTGCAGATGATAAAGCTGTTGACCGGGACATAACACAGCGAGAGCAAATTCAAGTTGCTACTGATGTGTCGCCATAGTGTTTCGCCCACTGCCTTTTCATCTCCGGCCAATTTGTAGACATATTCTTCAACTTGTTCCGATGAGAATCCTAGAACCTCGTAAGTTTTGTCAAACGGAAGGTGTTTGATGCTCGACAAAGCCGTAGGTCTCGTGGTGGTCACAATTGAGGCATCTTTTAGGAGTTTCCCGGTCACAAGCCACTGATAAAGGATTTGGAGCGGCTTTTTCTCTTCATTGCTTCTGGGATGAGGAGGCGCCCGGACCACGTTTGCGTCATGTTTAAATTCGTCGAATCCGTCAAAAAGTATGAGTACACCTTTAGGGTTCTCAAGCAGGTGATTCCAGACCTCGTCATCCAGGTGATCTGTAGGAAAATACTCGGACTGAATTAACAGTTCCTTGAGGCTAAGGTCGTTTGCCGATTTGAATCTTCTGAATTTCACGAGGAAAGCGGCATCAAAATGGATTTTGGCTCCAGCTGTCACTTTAAAAGTTTTGTTTGATGCCCAGTCTCTGACAAGTTTGGTACAACATAATGTCTTGCCGATTCCGGCTCGACCGACGATTAACACTTTCTTATTTTCAACATTTAGGAGGCCTTCCAAGCTTTTCGGTTGTGATTTTTCCCCGCGCGACCTTGGATAAATTTTGAGCTGTTCCTCTCTGTTTTCAGTAAAGTCATACGTAGCTCTGTTCGGAATCACAACAAGATTTGTGTAAATTTGATCCAAAGTCAAATGTTTAACTGTTGTGTTTTCGCCTGGATTACCTGAAAAAGGTGATTGGAGTTCTAAAAGTCCTTGGGTCTCTTGAATAATTATTTCCTTTTTGCGTTTAATGAATTCGTGAAACTTTCGTTCTTGGAGTTCTTCAGTGTCTGTTTCAGTGAGTGGAATTGTTTCGTCCCTTCCATCTAGGTGTTGGTTGAGACCGAAGTGGGTTTTAAGAAACATTGAGTCTTGCATGAAACTCCTTTCAATGCATGCCCGTGAAAAAAGGTAAACGATTTCAACCAGAATAGTAACGACAAGAATTCCATTCACACCAAGGACAGCGTACATCCAGTAGGTTTTCTTTGCCGCTCGTTGATTGTGACAATCGTATAAAGTCGAGTGTTGGGCGTTGTCAGTTGAATTCCTTGGCTGAGTGGTTCCATCGGTTAAATTACAGTCAAACTTGGAGGAAAACTTTAAAGGATAAAGTAACTGAGTTTGTAGGATGATGAAAAGAACTCCTAAAACAAGTCTAGTGAATAGTTGACAGCAGTAAGCGATAAAAAGCTTATATCCCGTCGATAATGCGTTCCCTTGGTCGCACGGCTGTCCCTCTGAATCACCGTCACGACTGCTTGGCGACAGTCGATTGACTGTTGGTCTTACTATTAGGGAGTAGATAACACATGCAGATATAATAAGGACGAAATTCGTGATTACGAAGCCATAAACAGGAACACCGAGTTTGTTTTGTTGCTTCGCGTATTTCTCGTAACATTTTCCCTGGACGGCTTTGATGTTTTCACTTTTCGCTCCGCCACAGTTGAAATCAAACCTGGGTTCGTTGTATTCCATGTCGGCGAATATACCAAGGAAGATGACACCAATCACGCTCCAAATAACCACTACCCCAAAGGGAATTTTGTTGAAAGTTTTTGGTTCCAAATAATCTAATAGCTTTTCCATTGACATTTTTGGTGATTCCGTTATCTTCGTTTGAGTACTGATTTTCTCCGGTTCAATTGAACTGCTAATTCGATCATAGTGTATTTAAAGAGATACAGAACTTTTGTTTGATTGGCTCTTTGAAAACTTTCAACTGTCAAAAAGGCGATGGCCTATGCAACGTTTACTTGTTTACATAAGAAACAGATATCAGACTAGTTCAGCCGGATACAGATATGTATTGTTTCAAAAGATGCGCTTGACCTCTTCATCCACCCGCCCCCCTTTGCTCATTTCCATACACCTTCGATCTTCTTTCCTATGAAAATTCAGCGCGGAAGCCCAGTAGACTTGACTTAACTTCTGCTGTCAAACCCAGAGTACTTATGTTGATTACTTTGCAGCTTTAAGCCTGCTAATTTCTAAGCTACCAAGTATCACCATTTTCTGCAGTATTCTTGTATTTCTTACTTAATAGACGCCAACACACCAGGGTGTCATGCTGGTGAAAGACTTCTTTTTTGCACAGTGGGAGACATGATGAAAGCACGGGACTGCGCAGAGGGGGGTGGAGGGCTTAGCTCCCCACTATTTCGCAAAAATGAAAATAAATTGAACAAAAACAATTTAACAAAAATAACGGAGCCAAAAATAGCCCCCACTCAAAAACTTGCTGCGCGATCCCAGAAGAAACACTTAGTCTGTAGACTTAATAAGGTTGGATAACATAATGATAAGGCAAGAATGGTTCTGCGTCAAGCTAAACTTTGAATTGTCCACTTCCTGTTTAGGAATGAGTCCGCAAAACTGGTTTATTTTGACTATCACTTGTTTAGATTGGTAACAATAAGAACACAAATTATACAAAATTATTTCCGCCGTATTATTTAGTTGTAGCTCTTCGCGTTGCCAAAAAATTTCGAAGCATGTAAAGAGAACGCGGCGCCGAATCCACTTTGTTGGACGCGATCAATTGTTGAGGGGTTAAGAGGGCATTGTAATTAACTGATAGATTTGGCGCCAGATTGATGCTTGGCGGCAGGATAAAAGAGCTACAGGACAAATATCGTGACGATAGCGGAGAGCGCTAAAGACATCATGAAACTTCAGTTCCTCCCTGGTGACTTTAGACGTACAAAAAAAACGACATTCGATTTTATAAACGAAAACTATATGAGTGGAGGGCACTTCGCTCTTTCTGGGTGTTACTAAATTGTAGATTAGCAGACCGTAGAACCTGCGACCATTCTGCGCCATGCTGCGAAACCATTAGTTTTTTGTAAAAAAAAAATATTAATTAATTAAAATAGAAACTAAAAATACCTTAACATTTCAAGAAATTTCGTTTTCGGGTTTAAAGAAGATAACGTTAATATATATTTTAACAAGTTTGACGTCCAATTACTGAAAACCCAAGCTCACACGGTGAGCCTCTGTGATTATGCAAAAATGTTTCCGTTGCGCAATGGGTGAATCAGGGATTTGCATGGGAATAAACAGCCGCGCTCTCGACTTTAGAAAGATCTGGACGTGTTTTGAATAATACTTTGACAATAAAAATTTAACAAATTTACCCTGTTAAAGTGGTTGTTCTTTTGCATTGAGTGAATTTTTTTGGGCTGAGCTCGGTTAATTTAGCCCGGTTTTAGTTCATCTGCCTAACCCTCTACATAATCCCTTCCAAAACAAATCTGTGAGTAACGCCAACCGAGTGAATCCACTGGAAGCAAAACGCTGATTAATCACTCCGAACACCCCGATCACCCCAAAATTCGGCTTACTGTAATTTGCGAAACGAAACGAAACGAAATGAAAACCTGTAATTTGCGAAAAAAATTATTCTGAGACTCAAGAAAATAAAAGAGCTTGGATTAGTTACATTTTCCTAGCAAACATGATAGCGGAGCTCGCAGAGCGTAACCCCATAATTTAAATTGTACAAAATAGTAGTAACCCATCAAGCCGAAAAAATTTGGATGTACGACCGTGCGACCGTTTCATTTTCACTACATCATATTCCTCTACGCATCTGATTACATACAACTCCAACTACGACTCCATTGCTAGTTAAAACCAGCCTTCAGTCCCTCAGTCTGGGACTAGCAATTGTTATTTCTTTATGAAAGTTTAATAAGTTCTATGTAATGCATCAAAACAAACAAGAGAACAACTACAAATCAATACAGCCAACTTAAAGCGTTTTCAGAAAACTGCAGTTCACTGGTATTTTCTTTGCTTTGAGTTACAAAGGTGCTAAACAGTAGGAAACCTCTGGCTTTCAAACTTTAAGGCAATATCCAAGCTTTGATTGAAACCATTCTCAGGGGAATGAATTGTTGGGAGCTGTAACATCGCCAGGTGTACTGTTGCTAATGGCATGGAAGTTTCTCATCATCATCAGGAATATATCTTAGCACAATGTTGTGAGGGAGACCATAAGGTGGAATTGATTGAAAGCCAGTAATGAACTGCAGCAGACATATGAGTTTCTCCTCACCAGCATTACATAATCCATGAACCAGTCATAGGAATGTAGCTGGGCAAAGTCAGAGGGCCTTTGTACACTGGCATCAAAGAGATTATTAAATTCATCAGGAGTGAGGGTTTGCTCAATAGAATTACAAAGCAGCTTAAAGCAGACTTCCTTGTTGTTCTTTGTGGCATCTAGGAACTCCAAATTCTTGAGACCTTCAGCGAATGAGTCTATCTCAAACTTCCTGAACGAAATTATTTCAGTCACCAGTAGGTTTTGTACAAGATGTGCCACATTCTTATCTGTTATCTTCTTGGTTATTGGCCAGTGAGAGGCATTTATCGCTGACCAGAAGGACTCAGAGGAAGGATGGTTGTGAAGGACTTTAGAAACATCTCCCTCCTGCAACTTATCCAGCAATTCATGCAAAAGAGCAGTTTCTTCAATTAAAAGAAAAAAAAAATGAAAACCTATCAGAAATGTTCCATTGTCACTTTATATGCCATATGGATTAACCCTTTAACTCCCAAGATCTCATTAGTAATTCTCCTTACTGTCTGCCATATAGTTCTTGTGATGTTAGTTTGGAGAATTTGGTATAGGATCAACTAATAATCTCCTAATTAAGATTTTTCTTTATTCTCGTCACTTGTCTGTTTGATACTGTATTGATATTGTAAGGAGAAATTCTGTCTTGGTCACTCATGGGAGCTAAAGGGTTAAGAGAGGAAATAATTCACTTGCCCTTTGATTCTGTTAATGTCAAAGCTCTATTAGGAAATGACCATTATTTTTGAGAAAGGGTGGGGGGAGGTTGGGCAATTTTTTTGTTGTTGTGGTAATTGCCCAACCCTCCCCTCAAAAAATAATAGTCCATCCCTAAGCCCTGTCTCTAACAAGCTCCTTGTTTGGAAGTATAATTTTTTTAATAACCCCCCTCTCTGTAAACCTGCCTCTTCCCTATAAAAAGTGTACAAAATTAACTACATTCCAATGTTTTTGTGACCATAAATGTAACAAAAACTGTAAGTACACTAAAGTACCTGCATGTACCTCTGAACAACAATTTCTATCTGGTGTTTGGGGGAATCTGGAAACATTTCAGACAGTTGATCCACCCACAACCTTGTTTCTGTCTGTGTAACATATCTGAGAGGAGAAATCTGTCACTCCTGGGCTGCTTTTCCCCCTGTATTTCGCAGAGATTTAGGTAAGAAACCTCAGGAAGGGTGATGGCGTTCTTAACGATCACATATCAACATTTTCTCTTCGTCAACCACAGTCACACTATCAAATACATCCTTCTCTCCAGCTCTGTGACCAAAGTTTCACCGTTTTGCAACATGCACTGGCATTTGAACTTCTAAATTTTAAAACAACAACTGAAAAAATTATGAAAAAACTAAGAGGGTTTTTCATACCTTTGTGCTCTTTTGTCTTTGAGACTTTTCTTCCATCAGTCCTTGTTGCTGCAAAAAAAAAAAGATATATATATATATATATATATATGTAAATATGTATACTTTATGATCATTTAAAGAAGAGTCTACTTCCAGCTGCTCAACCAACAGAATCACAAGGTAGTGATAAAAATGCAAAACCCACTGGTAATTGACATGCACAGGTCAAACTTCCATCAAACAATCTACATTGGACGCCCTCTATGCGTAACTAGAGTATATACGCACTGGAAAACGGAATCTAGTTATTTATCTATTTTCATAACTTTTCTGGCTTTCTACATCCACTTTCTAATAGCAAACTATTCTTAATAAATTAAAACATGAGGTTTCCATCCTCCATGGTTCAGTGCAATAAATGGATTTTTACCTGTAACTTTGGAAGACATCAGATTCTGCACTTCCTATAAACAGACAACAAAAATATTATTAGGTCAAAAAAAGTAACATGATGGTGGCATACTGCCATAGATCTGAAATAACACTGCACATCATTCATTTAGATTTGAACATCAAGAATACCGACAATAAATTCATGTTGATAAGTCCTCACTATAAATTTATAAAAAATGTTTTCTTCCTCTTTTTTCCATAATACTAAAGATGCGAGTTTTTTTGCAAGATATGACTAAAGTATAAGGGAAGAGAGGAGAGAACAGGAAACATCTTATATGGCTGACTACGATAACAAAAAATACCTCTTGTTTCTCTTAAGCATCACTCACTATTATTGCATCTGAGAAAGTTCAAAAGCTTCTTTAAATGCGTTCTTTTGATAGTTTTTTACTCCAAATAAATCACTGTCTAGAAGACACATAAAAAATTGAACTTTGACACAGTTGAAGATAGATTTTCATGTAGTCTCGTGTTGGTTACTACTTGGAATCTCACGACAAGTTCAGAGTCTTTATTTTATTAATTCTTGGAAATGGTTTTTGGAGGATACTCATCCTGTAAAAACAAGGATCCAGAAATGTCAATTTAGGTTGATACTAAAGAGTGTTCAAGGTAGTATTACTACTTTTAACCTACCAATTGGCTTAGGAACAGCAAGAACTTGACTTCAATCAAAGAGCAGATTATTCAGGGACCACACAACTGGATGAGTGGGCTGAGATAACTACCAAAGCACATGTGTCATGTCGCATGGCAAAACGGCTGATAACAAACATATTGAGATTGGAATAAATAGACCACCCCACTTTAACGTACCTGTATACAGAAACATCCTTATGGCTTATCCTTAACTGTTTGTCAGAAAATAATTGATACCATTATTGTGCAATTGAAGCCAATGATATGTAACCATGCCATAAATAGAAAAAATAAAGCAAATATAACCATAACAGTGCTTTCAATAACATTCGAGGAAGGGGGCTACCTCGGTAAAGCACCTGTGTGAGAATAGTAAGAAAAACAATTTCCCTCTCGTTATCCCATTACTTCCATTCAGAATAAACTCACTCTAAAAAGAGTTTTCAGTGCTGAGTCCAGCATACACCTCACTTGTTATAAGGCCTGGCACCTCTGATGCTAAAATAACAGCTGGCAACAACTTTGTATGATTTGCAGAAACAGTTTAGTTTTAGTTTCATTGAAATAATTA